TGCACAGGGCCCCTGGTGGCCCAGCCCCCTAGCCGCAGGAAGGGGAATTGGCCACCATTGCCCCTATGTGAGCCACCCACCTGCCAGTCTTGCTATGGTGGGTTCACTAGTGGGGGTGCTGCCAGAGGCTGGGGTGCTGGGTGCCTGTCTCCAGGCTCTACCCCCTAGTTACCCCAACCCTATACCCCCTCCCCATCCAAGAAGGGCACATACAGCATGTACTGGACAGAGTCTGCACAGGAAGAGGCTGCTTTATTGGTAGTGAGTGACATGAGTGGTGGAGAGACTTTGTGGAGGGGAGCTGGAGGGGTTCTGTGGTTTGGGAGGTGGGGGGATGGGGTCTGTTGTGGGAGAGGAAGAAGGGTTTTATTGTTGGGGAGGGAGGGGGAGGAGTACTTTGTGTTTGTGGAGAGGAATGAAGTGCACATCCTGGAAGGCACTGCATGCCTCCAGGACAGCCTCCCCAGTATTCACCTTGCCCATGTTGGGCATTTTTTCAGCAGAGGGGAAGCTGGGGGGGGGGCATGGCCAGCTTAAGCAGGGTGATGGCCAGTTGGTTGTCTGTGGGGAGGGGCCGCCACATGGTGATCTGTCACTCCAGGTGCAGATGAAGCTGCTTAAAGGGGTCCTGGAAGGTGGCCTGGGTCATCCAGAACAACTGTAGCCATAGCTTGTCATCCCAGGTGGTCTGGACAATGTGCAGCCACCAGTCCTGGGTGGATGGATGGCTTCACAGGTGGCAGGACTGGAGTCCCAGGAGTGCATGGACAGCATCAGTGGTGGTGTCCAAATGCACATTATTGGTGTCCCTCCCAGGGTCTGGGTGGCAGCACAGGGTCCTGGCAGCACCAGTGTAGTGCCAGGAGGCCTGAGACACCACAGTGAGCCTGGCTAAGCAGCCACACCAGGAGGGAGGTCCACCAGAGCTGCAAATGACCTGGGCCAGGTGGGGGTCACTGAGGCAGTGAAGCAGGGTAACCAGGGTGGCTAGCAGGAGCCTGTGGCACTGAACATTGCTCCTGGGGCCTGGAGCAGAAGCAGCCATTGTGTGAAAGGCACAGGCATACTGGCATATTGCTCTGCAAGCTGCTGTAGGTGAGGAAGGCAGGTGGCTTTTAAAGATTGTCCCCAGCTGTAGGTAGCTGTGGCCTAAGCCTCCAGCTCTGCCTGCCTGCTGCAGGGAGCCAGTGTAGGACTGAAGGGCGTGAAGCAGACTACTGCCAGAAGAGGCAGATCTGCTCCCAAATGCCTACACATGTAGACACTTGCCCAGGGTGGGTTTACTCCGAAGTAAATTACTCTGGAGTAAACCTATCCAGCAGCATTTGCATATGTAGACATGCCCAAAGGGGATCTAACAAGCCTTACAAGAAGGGCCATTATTAAACCAATGGTAATTAGCACTGAGTGGATCACTATCCAGTCAGTATTAAGAAAAGTCTGCCAAACTGAGGATTCGTATAGGTCAAAACCTCTGAACAGGGCATTGAAAAGAAGCCCATTGCCCACTCTTGAGGACATACTGCCTGAACTATCGAGGGAAAAAGTTCATGGTTTGTGATATAAAAAAAATGGATTCTGTCATATTAGCTTGAGGACTCAATTAGTTCATCTGACAACCTTTGCAACCACCTTTGGCCAATTACCCATGGGCATTCATACCCAGGGTATCAATCTCACCTCGCACATGTTCCAGTGCAAACTGAATCAGGCAGTAGAGGGACTTTCAGGAATCAGGACTGAAGATGATAATTTGCTTGTGAGGGAAAGAGATAGTCAGGAAGAGGGTATCTGGGACCATGATGCTAAGCTATTACAACTCCTAAACAGGTGTTGGAAGCAGATATTAAGTTAAATTCAGAGAAACTGAAGCTGAGAACTAAGGTCCCTAAATGGGGCACCTTCTGA